TTTCATATAATGTGGCTCCAAAATTAACACTTAGGCCACACTTATAAATGTATGAATGGTACTGCATTAGATTAGACAATATGAAACCAAGTGCCATATATTTTAAGGAAACACAAAACAAGCACCAAAAGAAAGTTTCTCAAAAAGACGTTTGTCAGCTTTTAAATGATAAAACAACAAAGCTTTGGGACACTTTCTGGCTGTCAAATGTTAAGAGGAAAATGTCCATAGTTAATGGGATGAACTACACCTGCTGGTTACTCTGCTAGGACACCTGTGTGAACTGAACTGACTCCATATACTGATACTGCATTCAAATCAAATCTGTTAAAAAGTAAAGATGGCAAAAAGAAAAGAATTTAGTTCTAGGGTTAATTTCCTCTAATGGCAGATGACACATATATTTGATATTTTATTATCTAATGCAAAGGCATTCCGACCGGTTTTTAAGTGTGTCCAAATACAGTTTGGGGCCACTGAAATAAATAATTACACTGAATACACAGTGGTGGTACTGGTATGCAGCAGTCTAGAATAACAAGACTGTGCTGGTTTCCTTTGATGCAGTTTAATCTTGGTTTTATCTCTTTTCCTGTGAACTAAGGTCAATCTTCAGCAAACCACTGATTCTGAATATTGTTATAGAAACATCAGCTCTGTTTTTATTATTATTATTATTAAAAAGGAGCCCTAAATTAAGTCCTATAGTGACATAAAACTAATTCTCGTTCCACTGATAATCTCTCTCTGAAAAGCACTGCAGCTGTTTTCTTTCCAAAAACTCTCTGAACCGATGGCCTGATATTTAGAATTAGTGTAGGGTCACTGAGTGGCATTTAAGCCCCCAAAACTTCAGACAAAACCATTCAGCTGATTAAAAGTGTGGAAGTGTGGCAAAAGCTTGATGATGCATGCAATCCAGGTCTCTAAAAGGCATTCAGAAAACTTTACAAACAGAAGAGCTAACTGTGAAGTGTAACTAAAATGCATGTGCACAAACAGTGCAACAAAGGATTAGTTGGAAGAACTGGCTATGTTTTTATATTGATCTAAATTCTTGTTATACCTGAACTCAAACTGGAATTCCTTCAGATTTCACACAGATGTCACACTATATGAACAAAATTATTGTCTACAGACATTGCAATGTTGCTCTTGAGCCTTTAGCTCAGATTTGACTAAAATCTGACGGCCACAAAACGGTTCGTTTCATAACCGACATACAGCATGCTCCAGCATGTTTAAGCTTGTTTGAGTATTCACTCCAAGGTGCTATAGTATGAGTAGGATGGCACATAGGCTACTACTCGGCACTTACACTCACTATCAGCTCATTACACACTTAAATATTAAGAACTATTTGCATTATGCAAACATTTACATGTAAACAACTGGATGCAGTTGTAAGTTGCAAGGAAAAAAGATATGCATTTTAATTTATCTTGACATGACATACTTTTTTACAATTGGGAATTTGTATTATATTTGTATAATAGTCAGTGGCGGTTCTAGAGGGGGGGCCAGGGGGGCCAGTGCCCCTGTGACAAAAAGCTTGGCCCCCCTTGTGGCCCCCCTAAATGTGGAGTTTGAAATAATTTTTACAAAACTGTTTTTTGCTATCGTTGTATGTGTATTATTTTTTTATTTTTCTATCTTTGTGGATTTGCATTTTCACGTGACAATTCGCATCACATTCGCGGGAATCGCGGCAGAATGTTTGAAGAGGTGAGTGCGCGCGCGCGGCCGGGGCGCTCTCTCTCTCTCTCTGCTCGTTATGCACTGTCAAGCGCAGCAAGTGGACGCTCTGACGGGTTTTAGAAGATAAAATACAACCCGAAACTAAAAACAGACCCGGCTTCTATTTGAGACCGGCCTTTATGTACCCAAACCTGTCGCCACACCAGGCGTGTAAAAGAGACAGGCGTCTATTCGGGACTCGGCTATTATTTGAAGTTTCACGGTATGTACGAGGCACTGTGAGCTGACATAGCATTTGTCTATCGTCCTTTCACTGCTGTGTGCAGTTCATAGGTAGGCTATGTCCCCAAATTAGTTTTTGTCTTATATTTATATCATATTATGTTCTTATATTAGAATATCACATCAGCAAGAGTGCCGTTTTCCCGTGCACAATTGCAACTGTGATATTTATGTTATACAACAGTTAAATTAAAAATAAGTTAACATTGGGAGTTACTTTTTAGACACAATATTGTCAATATTGTTTGTTTTCCCTTTATTTCGCCGACTAGAATTTCATAATGAAACCGTAGTGAGTCTCAATGCAACACAGCGATGATTTCTTGACTGAAATCCGCGTTTTGAACGAATCACTTGCTTCTTTCCCGAATAAATCGGCCGTTTGAACAAATCGTTTGAATGAATGAATCCCTCTTACAGGGACTTGCCGCCGCCTACTGGCGGTTTTAGTTTCATATTTAAAGTATCCTTTAATTAAAACGTTAAACTTAGAAATAATTTCATATTTAAATATTGATTTGAAAAAAATCTCATAGCTTTATTTATGCAATTGTAAATGGAGTGTAAATATATTAATGCCACTTCTGTGTCACCTCTGCACTGCAAAGATGGATTTTGATTGAATTAATTAATTTGACTGGTAACAGTGGTACTGTATAATTATTGTATAATTAAGTATTATTGTATAAATAAGTATAATTACTGTATAATTTGAATGTTAGTATTTGACATAAAAGGTGATGCATAACTCTAAATAAGTTTAGAAAAAATGTCCATATATAGGTGAAAATGCCCCTGGAAATCAATTTAAGGTGGCAAATATTGCCCCTTAATTAAAAAATGTATTTCTGTCACTGCTGTGAATCGACCACTGCATAGAATATGAAAAATAGGAATATCTTCGTGAGTCAGCTGTCAACAACAGGCCTAAACCAGCCATGGCACCAGCACAAAAACACAATCAGTAAAATATTATCTAATTATTAACAAAATGTTGAAAATGTTGAAATATATTTTTGTCAATATTGCACACCTCTAATGTACGGTATTAATTTTGATTTCTTTAGGTCTTAAAAAGCCTTAAATTGGACTCTAAAAAGTGTGCAGGAACCCTGTAAACGGTTAGACATATCAAGTCAGTTATTTTCAGTAAATGAATTAATAAGCTTCTTGGTCCCCATTGCTTTTGCTCTATAGTTCTCAAAATGAAGAGAAAGAAGGACATCATGTCTATTACAGTTACTGTGACTAATACTGAATATGTAATGCAAATGTAAAAATATAATGGAAATGCAAATACATTGTTGAATGATTATAAACACGGTATTTTCCCTGTTAATGCCTGCAGCAGTGCAGAAAATGATATGACAACAATAAGGTCTAAATGTAACTGGCCCCTCTAACAGTACAACTGGCCCCAGCTTGGCCCCCCCAGTTGAAATGGGCTAGAACCGCCACTGATAATAGTGCATGCTCTTATATCATGATGAGGTATATTTCTTTGCCTTTTATGATTGAGACGCCCCTGAGATAATGATGCACAAATGCGCATGGGAACAGCACCAGGTGAGAGACATGTTTGTTAAAGCATCGCCTGAGGCAGAGTCCTGTCCTCCTGCTGCGTTTAAAGCCATTTGACAATATACATTTTTTTTTTTAGGAATCCACAAACAATCAGGAAAACCATAAGCAACACTGCATGTTAATGTTGTCGAGGCAGTGAATGGTTCAGTGTTTTTATGGTTTGGAATTTTGTTCAAACTTCATGTCAGTTCCATGAGACATTGTTCTCTTATCCTGCCACGGTCTCCTCTGGGAATAGCTCCAGATCTCATCGGACGTTTCCTGCTAGTAGCTATGTATTCCAACAAATTACTATCTATTTAAAAAAATCAACAACTTGTTTTGATATCAAAGCATTTAGATCAATTCAGCTGTTATTCGGCTGTCTAAACGAATGACTTTTGTTATAATAGCGGACCACGCGCGTCTGAGGGCGTCGATCAGAGGCGTCACGCAGCAGTGCGCGGTGAGAAGAGAATAAGATGCCATAAATATAAAGGCCACTTACTTGTCGAGGACAAAATACAAGTCGAAAGCACCTTGACAAGACCTCTTCTCTTCCTCAAAATAAGGCTCAGCTTTTCCAGTATGAAGACTAGGCATCAAAATCACTAAAATACCCACAAGAAGAATCAGAGAACGTGCCATTTCATCAGTTGAATCTATCCAATTGCACTGGAATAGAAAGCATTTCATATTAATCCTGCAGAAAATGAAAACTACTCTTTTCCATTAAATTTATTGAATGTATTGTCACTGTGTTATATTCGGCAGTCATCTGAGTCCGCTTTCAAAACATAGAAAGCTCCTCCTCAAGGAGAAATGTTTGGAGGAGCGACCACAGACCGGACAGCGAGCAGGCAACAGCAAATAAAACTTCCTCTTTCCGGGAGAGGGAGACTGCTGGCTTCAACGAAATTTCTTAAATAGCCTACTATTTTGCTTTTTATGCATTTTGTTGAGTGATTATAGCCTATATAGGCCTATATATATATAATCAGTAAACATAGCACTAAACAAATAGTATTTAAGAATTTTTTTGAAGCCTCACGTACATACACAGTCACAGATATATAATATAAATATAAAAAATATATTTACACACACATATAGGCTATGATGTAAACACAATTTTTATGTTAAATGCAATTAATCGCGATTAATCGATTTGACAGCAATAATTAGGCTATGTTATTCGAACCACTCAACATGCGCAAAGTAGCCTAATAATAAAAAAGTCAATTCATCTTTGAAAGTAACCTATAAGCCTATTTATTTCTGAAATAAAATAATAAAATTAGATAAGCAGAAGAGGCAAAAAAGTCACAAAATCATCACAAAATCTAACAGTTGGATTTTGATCGACATTGGCTACTCGTTGTGACTGGCTTTATAACTCAGAGACCCGTTTTAAATGTGCATACATAGGCTGAGCATATACAGTCTTTTGTGGTAGGTACTTTACAATCTAACGGTCTCTGACTTCTGTCATTGATTACCCTCGCTTCTAATTAACACGCCTTCAAAGCTGGTGGAGCACCAATCAAAACGCCACCTGGGGGGTTTGGGGAGAAATGAGGCGCATCAGCTACGCGTCCTCAGCGTGGATAAGTGCGTGACTGCACAGCGCGAGAGACAGTCCAGGGACTGTCAGGATCAGGAGACAGTCGTGATCGCGAGCTCTCGGTGGATAATTTCAAATCGCATCTCCTTGGATTGTGCACCTGTTCCTGAACATCCTCAACGCTAACCTAAATTGGGTAAGTTGCGATTTTACTGCATCATTTTAAGATCTTACATTTTATACAAAAATGCCGGCTGATTATTTAAACGTCATTAGCCTATACAGTCTCTAGACAATCAAACAAAATAAAAAGTAATAGAAAAACTGTAAAGTTCTGATTCAACAATAGATTTCGCACAATATACACAGACCGATTTATTCATCAGTCGAACTGAATGAAATCACTGCCTACAATGAAAAATCATTAGGCTGTTGTTTTAAGCATGAAAACATTATTTAGGCTACATGTCACTCATTCTCATTATTTTTATTCAGATTTTCAGGAATAAAACATGGAGCAGAGTTTTATGCCTCGCGCCTTGTGGACTAATGACAGCAAATTTCTCCATCACCACGTCCCGGATTTCTTCACTAGTGTACAAGTTACACAGGATGTACCAGCCGGAACATCATTCGGACCATGTGTTCTCCATAATAACTTTTATGACACTATAGCATTCATTGCACTGAAATCCTTTGACAAACGGAATAAATCATATGTATTTAGGGTGAGTATAGCATTCACTGCATATTTAAACATGCATACACTTACATTTTAATCTAAAGGTTTTTTATTTTAGACTGCACTTTACAATATTTGCTGTTTTCTGCTGTGTTAGTAAATGAAACATGCGTAATGCAGATATTTAATTTGTATTAAATATGCAGTGCAAAAGGTCAAATGTTACTTTTCTTGTAAAGATTTTTTTTTTTTTCAGTTTTAGATTTTCTCTAATGGCAAATATGTCCCTCTATCAACAGGTAGATCCTGAGGCGATGAAAGGCTCTCCATTTGTAGTTCCTTGGCTACGGTTAGTACAGGCTGCAGTGAGCGCAGAAGAACAGAATACTGAGGCCTACTTGAAAGGAGGACAGCTGCACTTTCAGACTATTCGAGATGTGAAACAAGGGGAGGAACTGCTTGTTTGGTACGACAAGGAGTTGTCTCATCTTTTGGGGTTTGGAGACATAAAGACAAAAACCCTGACAGATGGTGAGTAGCAGCTAAATTTTTATTATTATTTATTTCATTATTAATGGCATAAATGCATTAATTAATGCTCAAATCATGTTAAACCAGTTAATATAACCTCAACATGTCATGGAATGTTCATAGGTCAATGATATTATTTTTGTGTATTTTTGACTGAATAAATTAAGGAAATAAATTACAAACACAAATAATATTCTACACAAAAATAACTTGTACACCTCTTTCAACTTCTATTTTTTTAGGGCTAAAGTAAAAATATTATGTAAAAAGAAAAAAGTCCTTAAAATGCAGACATTCACATAAGTAGTTTGGCATAATATTGCATTCTTTCTTTAAATATTAGCTGTATTTTGTGAAATATTAATAATATTTAAGGGAAAAAATCATTTGTCCACCATAATGCAGGAAGCCATTTTGTTTTTATGTGACAAGAAATCCACTCTTGAATATTTAACACGTTTTGTTCAGATCAAATGGTTTAAGGCAACTTTTTATTCATAATGTAAAAAAATATAGCCTAGATATATCATTAAGGTTTTCAGAAATGCGTGAAAACAATATGGATACAAATATCACATTTAAATTGCCAACTGTGTTTACGTAAAATTGCCTGTTATTGTTATTATCATGCTCTGACAGCGTTTGTTTCTCTTTATATGCAGACTATATATGTACGAGATGCGGCCAGGCCTTCAAGAACGAAAACCCTTTCCTTGCCCACTGTCGTTTTTTATGTGCGCAGGAAAAAGTAGATATTATCCGGCCAACCAACGAACAGAAACAAGAAGTCAAGCGACAACGCAAAGTCATAGATTTTCACAACATTGCAAGAGATTTGGAGCACAAAAGGAACGATTCTTCCGAAGACATGGCCATACTTCGAAAAAGAAAACACGATGCTTCCTTGAGCCCCAGGAACAAAAAAACAGTTTTATTGGAGAGAACCAACACCACTAATCACGCCAACGTCAACAAAGACTATCCGCATTTTCAGGATTCGTCAGAATCAACAGACAACTTTTCGACAAGTGAGTCAAAAAGAAATAAAAACAGCGCATTTACCGAGGTTAGAAAACCCTCAGAGCAGTCAAACCCTGAACAGTCATCACGAGATGTATTGGCGCCTGACGTAGGCCTACAATCCGACTGCAGCGCGTTCTCGTTCGTTGTACCCAAGAGCGCGCACTCGGAACAGAAGAGCGCGTTCTGTGAACCCAGCAAACGCACCATCGCGGAATTTCAGAACACTTCACCACCAGATTCGGATACTATCTCAGACTCTTTCAAATCAAAACCTTCTCTAGGATACAGAAATGTACTGGCTTCGCACCTGTTTCACGCTGACTTGCCAGGCACTCATGCAGGTGGAGTGATGTCCGCTCCTCTGGCTACAGGAGGATCCTTCTATTACGCACCCGAGCATTGGACCAGAGCTATAGGTGGCCAGCTGCAGTCTACATCTTCGTTGACACTTCTTCCCCCTACTTTCACTCCAATGGGTGTTTCAGTACAGAACTGGTGCGCCAAATGCAACCTCTCATTCAGAATGACCTCCGACTTGGTGTTTCACATGAGGTCCCATCATAAGAAAGAGTTCGCCGCAGAGGCTCAGGTGAGGCGGAGGAGAGAGGAGAAACTCACCTGCCCCATCTGTCACGAGTACTTTCGAGAGCGTCACCACCTCTCACGTCACATGACATCACATAATTAAGAAGAAAAACTCTGGCGCACTTTAATATGTTATTATGCATTGACCATAAATTGTGCATTTAGGCTACTTAATGATGGACATTTGTAGTTAGGCTGCTATTGGACAGAGCAGGTATATTGCTGTAACAAATAGCAATACGTTACAGACGTGGTAAAAACTTGAACCTTTCAACCATTTATAAACAGTAAAGCGTCGTCATTTTCTCCACCGGTCATTGTCATTTCAGCCATGTAGTGAGCTTTGGTCGTGCAGTTCAGGGTAGGCCACTAGGTGGCTATAGACATGCATAACTTTCTCTTTATAAATAGCTGTCCCATTTAGTTGACTAATACTGTTGAATTGCCTGATCATTTTCAACCTAATAGTGCCTTACAAATGTCAGGATTAGTAGGCTACATGTAAATGCTATTGAGAAACGGAGTAAAATGCTCCAGCATTTTTAGGTTTGCTAACAGCTGACTAAAGTATTATACGTTTAGAGTAACATTGTTTGTAAAGAGATTTTATATTTGAAAAATCCATCCCTTCAGAATACCAAATCTTTATTTTACAATATTCTTTTTAACATTTCTATCAGCACAACGACAAGGAGGATGTATTTATTTAAATATTGTCTTGTTCGTTTTTTTTTTAGATAGGCTAAGTACAGTCATTGTATTCATTAAAGAATTTAAACATATTCCCCATGTGTTTGCCTCTGATTTTAGCCATCTAGAAATATGGAACATATAAAGTACAATTTTCTTTGTGTGCACACACAGTAGCATTGATATTTATTATGTCAAGAAGCAAGTATTTAGGACTAGGCAAGTATTTAGTCAGTTTATATTTGTGTTAATGTAGCTAAATATCTACTATGTGGTAAATGTCCTTGCATTTGACAGTCAATAATATCTCACACAGGTGTTATATTGTTCTAGATTTGTGAATATGGTGGTACTACATAAAGTAAACTCTTTTTTTCTTATAACCTCATAAACATGCTAATTTATTTTAAAATAAAGTAAACACTAATTGAAGCGCTGGTTTGACACACATGCACTAACACTGAGTGACCAGTAGAGTGCCCTGTCTAACAATTATTAAGTCCTTGAAGGTCTCATCACTCTCAAAATAGGCCTAGCTGTTATGCAGAAAATGTGAGGATGTGGCGTTGTGTTCAGGTTTATCTTCGCCACACGCACACTTCCTAAAAAGTTAGTTTTAGTTTTGTGTTAAAGCCCCCTGCAAGTCTCCCTTTAATTAGTCTATAGGCATAGGCTAGGTGATAAACTCAACACTCTGAGAAAGTTCACCAAAAAGTCAACGTTTTGACCTCACTGCAAAGTTCAAAAGGACACCCGTCTGCATTTAGTTAGAAAATCAAACATTCTGCTCATTCAGGAAAGTAAATACAGAACTTCTGAAGACACATTGAATGAAAAGATGTGTATACACTGGCCTAATATTGGTGCAATTAAAAGCCCAGCGGTCGCTCCTGACGGTAATCACTTGAGGAGAAAGTCATTTCATACACAGAAAATCCTCTGTTCGCTCTAAAGAGCATCTTTCATCGCTGCCATTAATCGATCAGGCCTCATTTGGAAAACTAAATATTGACTTTGGTTTTCAGTAACTGTTTAGGCCTGTTAGAAAGATGCAGGGCAGGCCCATCACTTCTGCGTGTTGAAACTGTTGCAGGCATGCTGTTTGTCACAAGTTGTGCTATTGTGATTGTGAACACACGTGCCACATTGCTTCATTTCCAAATACATCTGCTGATAGCCATCTACCTAAAAGCGATTCAGTTTTTACAAATACACACAATGATTTTCATATCTGACCACATCCCATTTTAAACTCCCTGTAGTAGCATAGGGAAAAGAAAGGCGTACGGATCATGTTATTGCACATTCAATGACTGTAAACAATGTAGTGGTTCAGACTTCTAAGTGCCGATATCGATTAATTTTAAGAAAGTATCGATTCTTTTTAGGAAAAGTAGCGATTCATTTTAAGAAAAGTAGCGATTCATTTTAGGAAAAGTTGCGATTCATTTTAGGAAAAGTAGCGATTCATTTTAGGAAAAGTAGCTATTCATTTTAAGAAAAGTAGCGATTCACTTTAAGCGATTCATTTTAGGAAAAGTAGTGATTCATTTTAAGAAGCTATTCTTTTTAAGAAATGAATCAATTATTTTTGAAAAAGTAGCGATTCGTTTTAAGAAAAGTAGCGATTCATTTTAGGAAAAGTTGCGATTCATTTTAGGAAAAGTAGCAATTAATTTTTTTAAAAGTAGCGATTCATTTTAAGAAAAGTAGCGATTCACTTTAAGCGATTCATTTTAGGAAAAGTAGCGATTCATTTTAAGAAGAGTAGCCATTCATTTTAGGAAAAGTAGCGATTCATTTTAAGAAGAGTAGCCATTCATTTTAGGAAAAGTAGCAATTCATTTCTAAGAAATGAATCGATTCTTTTTGGAAAAAGTAGCGATTAATTTTAGGAAAAGTATCGATTCACTTTAAGGAAAAGTAGGCCCTATCGATTCATTTTAATGAAAAGTATCGATTCTTTTACAGAAAAGTATAGATTCTTTTACAGAAAAGTATCGATTCATTTTAATGAAAAGTATCGATTCTTTTACAGAAAAGTATAGATTCTTTTACAGAAAAGTATCGATTCATTTTGAAAAAGTATTGGTTCATTTTTAAGAAAAGTAGCGATACACTTTAAGGAAAAGTAGCGATTCACTTTAAGGAAAAGTAGCAATTCACTTTAAGGAAAAAGTAACTGCTACTGAAAAAGTAGCGATTAATTTTAGGAAAAGTAGCGATTCATTTTAGGAAAAGTAGCAATTCATTTTAGGAAAAGTAGCGATTCATTTTAGGAAAAGTAGCGATTCATTTTAAGTAGCTATTCATTTTAAGAAAAGTATCGATTCATTTTAAGAAAAGTATTGATTCTTTTTAAGAAAAGTAGCGATTCATTTTGAAAAAGTAGCGATTCATTTTAAAAGTAAAAAGAAGTTGCAAATGCCTAATAGAGGTTGTACTGCGAATGCGACATTGTATTTCTGTGAATGGCATTTTAACATTTGTGACTACTTGTCTGCAGCTTCAATTTCAGAATACAGGTTTGTGACAATTGTCTGCGAGTGCAAATCTCAACATTCAACAGGTTTTTACATTGGAGCTGTGAGTGTAAATATTAGCATACAAGTACAAATATTTATTGTACAAGTTCGCAAATTCACATCTACATGCATTCTTAATATTATTGATCTGCCTGTATTGACACCATTATGTGAGAACTGATCTAAGCTGGACAATGACATCACTGTTATCTCCAGAGCTGCTTAATAGTTGAATGAACTCTTTTTATAATTTATATACTTTATACAGTAATTGAACAGAACTGAATCGACACTGAACTGAATTCAGCTGAACAATGACACTATTTTCTTTTTAGAGCAGCTTTACAGACAAATTGAACTCTGTTTGCATCATTGATCATTTTCCTGTTTATCCCTGTAAAGCTGCTATATAGCGCTATATATTTAAAGGTGACTTGACATTTGCAAAAGGGGATTATTTAGTGTTAAAGAGAGTGAAAGAGAGTTTATTTGTGTGAAAGAGAATGATGTTTTTCTTTTAATCATAGAGTAAATTTTATTTACTTGTTCATTGATTCATTTCAAGAAAAGTATTGATTCTTTTTAGGAAAAGTAGTGATTCACTTTAAGGAAAAGTATCGATTCACTTCAAGGAAAAGTAGCAATTCACTTTAAGGAAAAGTAGCGATTCACTTCAAGGAAAAGTAGTGATTCACTTTAAGGAAAAGTAGCGATTCACTTTAAGGAAAAGTAGCGATTCACTTTAAGGAAAAGTAGCGATTCACTTTAAGGAAAAGTAGCGATTCACTTTAAGGAAAAGTAGCGATTCATTTTAAGTAGCTATTCATTTTAAGAAATGATTCGATTCTTTTTGAAAAAGTAGCGATTCATTTTAAGAAAAGTATTGATTCTTTTTCTCACATTCTTCTGTTATTTTATGGTCTCTATGGGAGACAATTACAAGCCTGAGAGGTGAAAACAACTTTTGATAACATTAGAAACCATATATTTATCATCTCATTAGTTTGTTGCCGCCGAATATCTATGCTAATGAATTAGTCAAAGGTTGATAAATCTATTGGTCTTTAGCCACGTGGTTTTAGAAGGGTTTGTAAGCTGGTAAGGCTGGGAGACTAGTTTAAACCTGCTGAGACAAGCACACTAGGCTGGTTTAATTTTTTTTTTTCAGCAAAATAATTGCATTAATTATAATAATTTTATAAATAATTTCAACACACAAAATATTCATTTTTTTAATGTTTTTGTATTCAAGTTTTTAGTGCTAAACTTCAGTAAAAGCAGCAAACACATTCACATCTCTTCAACTGACATCTTCAAGTGTCGCCTCTTCACACACTGACTGCACAGAGAAGCCATTCAATCCAGCACACAGTAATTGGGTTCTGTTCTCTGAGAACATGCTTCTCATTTTCATTCATGGGCTAGTGGGATTAAAAGGGTTTACATCAAATTAGTTTGAGCGGGGTGACATCATCTGTTGAAGTAGAGCTGGAACTTCCTGCACTTTGTGACCTGATGCTCTTGAAGTGGGTTGAAGGTGGGGACTGGGGGTTAGAGATGTCTTTGATGTCCAGGTCAAGAAATAATGTACCAAGCAGGTTTCTGATGTCAAATTTAGTTGACATTCTTATTGTTTTTATTAATTTTCTTAATTTAGTAAAGAATAGGAACACATTTAATGCAGAACAATGAATTTATGCAGCAGAAAATACACATTGGTGGTTTAACATATTTTATTCTACTTATAAGGCTAGTTGTCATAATTTAAAACACACATTTACAAAAATACATTCTCTAAAATATAATATATTGAATCCAAATGAACAATTGTTTATACACACTGACACATTTGGCCCAAATACTCCATACATATGGCACCACACCAATATCATCAAACATGTCTGAATAAGGAAAGAGGAACCTTGTGTAACTTCTCTTAAAATAAAACAAATGCACAGGAAAAACTAGTCAGCACTAGCTACCAATGAGCTTTGTGATTGGCAACAGCACCATTTGGGAATACCCCCCCCCCCCCCATAAAAAAAATGTAATTGTTAAAATTTTGCTGCTTAGTTTTCTAACAGAACAAACTTTTGAATATATAAAAATAAGTTCAGATTAATTACTATGAGACTGCTGAGACTGCAGTCATGCTAACTGTTTGATGTAAATGCTTGATGAAAAAGATTAACGAGTTCACATTTTCACATGTCGGCTACTTCATCATGTATGGTTTTAAATGTCCCAAATATCAAGTTACACTTACATTTTTAATATACACAAACTTAATCTGCCACTACATCCAACATTCATCACAATAACAAAATAATTCTTTATTCTAATTTTCTTTCCAATGTATTTCAACAGCTCTGCCAAAAGAAAGGGTTTATGTTATATTCAGTATGCTATAAACCTTATTGTATATCCAGTAATCTACAAGTATAATTCCAACAGCCATTTATGTCATGGAGCTGAAAAGCCGACAATTTAAGCAATAAGTTTAAGAGTAAGTGCTCATGTTACTCAATAATGTTTGAATACTCAAACATGAATAAACAGAGGAAATGAAAATAACACAGATAAGCATTAATAAAATATGAAATGCAGTCCTTAAAAATGTATGCACTTTCTAAGAAGTGCAAACTAAAGACAATATGCCTCTTCAAGGTAAATTCGGTTTCAAAACCACAACAACGCCCATTTGTCTTTTTTTCCCTCTGAGCAGCACGTCTATCTACAAGCGCACGTCTCCACAGACATGTTGGGGTAGATCTTCAATACGATGTTTTTGCTCTCATCCATAAACAGTACACTGAGTGGTTTCATCTTCTCGGGGACACAGCAGGGCTCTGGGATACCTGGAATTATCCCAACTGCCTTGACTATACTCTGGATGGTTGCATGGTTGGAGGGGCGGACCACCTGAAAAGGGCAGAAAAGAGAGGATAATGAGGTTTGGTAGCGTTTAGATATGCAACTTTTGTTTTGCTTTCTTTAATGGAGCAGAGGAAATTATGTCTTACAACACCCTTCTATTATTCAGAACAGAGGAACTTTAAAACTGGCTCATTTCAAAAGAAAATGTGTCCAAAATGTGCTTAAAACCCCCATTAGGCGTACAACTATTTGACTGTAATTGCACATAAAGATGGTGTGCTTTAGTTGCGCTGGAACCGAAACATTTTCTGAAGGGATTCTTTGTTTAAAAATCTCTGGCTAGAGAGGCTGTATTAACCATAGTCATTTTTAAATATTTCAACATGTCTAAATGATTCACATTCGCATACGCGGATTCGCGCCTTGAGGTTCTCTGACCTTTGGAATGGGGAATTCACACGTTCCTGCGCAGTAGAAGGCATCGAAAGACTTGGGAGACAAGATCCATTCGTTCCACCCGATGTCTGCAAAGTCCACCTTCAGGTACCTCCTGGAACAGCTGCGAGGTTCTTTCCACTGTCTCCTCCGGGCCTTCTTCATGGTTTTCTCATCAAACCGGAGAACCTGAGACTTGTCGAATCCATCAGCGTGCTCCTGGCCTTTCCTCCGACGTTCTTTTTTGAAGGGCTTTGGCTTGAGCGCAAAGTAAGCACTTTCCCACAAATCGTGCTGTTTGAAGCTGTTGTACTCCACCTCCGGGAGCTCGTTGTTCTCAATGGGATCAGAGAAGTCCGATTCCAGTTCCCGCTTCACACGTATGTCAAGTGAGGAGTCTGGAGATTGAGTTGGCTGCTGGTCTGCAATGAAAGGGTCATATCTCTGTAGGCTCACAGCCACACTGTTCGGCTCTGAAATGGCTAAGTCATTAGCATAAACCAGCAAGTATGGAAGACTGGAAGGTGAGTGCTGGTCATAATACCTTTGATACTGCTCTCCATAGTCAAACTCCACAGTGATCAAAAGGTGATTCTTATCTCGGGCCTCCTTTATAATGACAGACACATCCTTGCTCTGCCAGGTCCCGCGTCTGTGAGGAACTACGGTGATGTTTCCGAGCAGCGATCCTGGGTCTGAGCTGAAGGAGGGAGACCGGAAAAGAAGACGGACAGAGGGTAGCAGTTGGAAGTTCGGGATGCGACAAGAGGGGTTCTTGAAGCGCTTGCAGAACCAGGACCTCTGGCGTGGCCGTTTGTCAAAAAAGTAGTGAAACGTAGATGTGAGAATCACCTCGGACCCCTGAAGGGAAGTGAGATTCAGCCAGTATGAGGCCCTCTGCTCCACATTCTCTGCAAAGATACGAGAGAAACTGCTGAGTTACATATTAATTATGAATATGGGCTCAAACAACAGGCTTTTTGTTCTGTGTATGGGGTTGAAGAAAGCACAAGGAAGTGCGGAGACATGTTACTCCTAGAGCAGACATATGGAAATGTTTATTTAGGTTCCCTTAAGAGTTAGAACCTGCAACAATGTCAGTCTTTTAATCGGCACTGATTAAACGCTTTAGCAGACTGCAGAAAAAAGACTGTATTGTTTCGTGAGAGTGTGCATGTTATTTTAATTTTCCGGTTTAAACAGCTGTTTTCAAACAACGTGTCATTAACAAGAAGAGTTCACAAAACGTGGCGGATCGTCTGCGGTTGTTCCGCAACACTTCCGATATCGCACGGCACATCTACAAATCATATCCTGTCATTATTTATCACTTGACCAGATTTAGGCATTACAATATAGGCCTACAAATATGCTAGGGGTGTAACAAGACATTTGCATTGCACGAGACAAACCTCAACATAGCCGAAAGGCTGCTGACAGAAATATTGTCATGAGAAAGTCATTAAGTGTAATTCTTGTCATTTTTAAGCAAATATAAATAAAGCCATTTAGAAGATACAATTAAGCGAATCGTAATTGCAGATTTTTAAAATATAAATAGCCTACCATGTTTGGTTTTAAACGTCATATAGGCTAGTGGCAGCATGTCGTTTGCATCATACATTTCCTTTTTTTTCCCATATAGGCTACTTACCAGGTTTTGCTTTAAAACTTCGTACTGTATTTCCCTCTTTGAGTCGGTTAGGTTCAATGTTGCACTTCTCATACAGTTTAAACATGTGCTGCGAGAGCGCGTCTGTGGCATCAAGCGCGTCCGTCGTGCTGTCGCGCGCGCTTCTCCAAACACCTTTAGATGCGCCAGGTTCGGATCCAACCCAAAGCAGTAACAGGTGCGTCAAAAAGACACATTTAAAAGTCATGTTGCAAAGAAAGAAAAACGTTTCCAGACGATTGATTGCCGTGTAGATGAAGGGATAAAAACGCGCTAGCACATATTAAAACATACTAAAGGATTCCAGTATAACGTTTTCCAATGATGCGGTTTGGATAGAAGCTTTTCTCGCCTTTTAACGCAGTGCAGAGAGGAAGTGGTTTCAGAAGTTCTAGCAGTCTCGTGGATAACCTGTGATACATCACTTATTTCTTCTGACCGCCACAATCCACGGGAGCAGGCATAAGCGGAGTGAGGTGCTGACGTATCCGCCCACCAGCCAACGGGAGCTGCTGCTACATTACACCCGATCCAGCGGGAGGCCAGCAAGAGGACAATCCAGAAAACATGCACATTCACAGTTTTTTTTTTTGGAAATACATTGGAAATGCTTTTTTAACATTCTCTCAAAGAAGCTTTTTTTATTTATTCAAAATTAGTTTTAAAGTTGATTATTTTTTATTTTATAAAACCAGACTGCTGCATTTTGCAGTCCATTTTGTTAAAGCTTGATGAAAAATATTACGGTTCACATTTTTCATATAGGCCTTTTTTGTGTATTTATTTACGTTCAATGACCCAAATATGAAGTTACTTTGATTTTACACACCAAAAGGGTCATTCCACCAAGCATTCATCATAACAGTAAAGCATCTTTGTTCTAATTTACTTTCTAAAGTAATTCAATAGTTCAATGTTGTATTCAATATGCCATAAAACCTTTGTTGTAAACATCCAGTAATCTGCTACCATAAATATGAGTCCAACAGCCATTTATGTCTTGGTGATGACAACAAAGTTGACATGTTATGAGAATGCGAGCATAAGAGCTCATGTTACTCATCTAGTAAAAAAAAAAAAAAAAAAGTTTACAAAAGATTCCTCAAATGAGGGAAAGGGAAACTAAATGTTGAATTATGCAGTCTAAAAAAGAGATAAGATGCATAATGTTCATTTTTCCTTCTTGATCAAATAAGCATTCATTTTCTAAGTAAATATAAAACGTGCAAATGCATTAATTTGAAAGTCTACTTTGAAAGGGTTTGATTTCATTATAGTGATTTCATTCAGTACATGAAGCACACTGGGGGAACAGCCCTGTCACCTCTGTGTTTTGTGTGAAGTGTCTGCAGTGCCGTGCCAACAATGCTGGTTCTGTGAAAGCCCGGAGCTCCAGTGGAGAGACCATAACAAGCCCGGCCGTTTGGGTCATTGCGTGCCATTAAACACCTCCTGTGGCCCCTGGGGACCCTACTGGAGACCCCTTTTTTTTTACTTCACACTTGAATGTGTCTTAAATCTGCATTAAAAATCTGACGTTCCTGCCCACTAGGACACTGTTACTGAGTGAATCACGGAATAAATCGAGTAGGAGGAGATACCTCTGCTCTGCTTTGTTTCCACCCCTCTTTTTATTGTCCGACTGTGGGAAGGCGAAGCCATTAAGCTTCAGAATCCTATACCGCTTTTAAAAATGAATAAAAAACAGAACAAGGGAGGAAGAATTCAAATTAACTCTGGTTCACAGAGACCTTTGATTCTTCAATATGACTGCATCACTTGCTCTCTATAGCACCTGGGAGAAACTATTCTGTCTCAGATCCTGCTGGGTCTGGATACTGAGAATGATTTTTTAATTAACAAGCTAACTACGGAATGATGCTAATAAAGCACAGGGTCTTGTGTAGAGGCTTGTCTCTCCAGGACAAATTCCCTAATATGTTTGTCCCTTATTTCGAAACAGCTAGTAGTCCTGGTCTTGTAAAGCACATATTATTTTTCTCGCCTCCTCCCTTCCCTCCCATTCATGAGCTTTATATGGGGCTAGTTGCAAACGAAACACATCATTCATTGGTTGGAAGGGGTAAAAAAAAAAGAAGAAGAGAGAATTCTGTGAATGAGAGTGATAAAACTTTGATGCAGAAGGTTTTACTGGAAATTCCTATTATTTCATTGGTTAAATCCCAATTAGAATTGAATGCAGGACTTTAAAAGTGATTTACAGGCATGTTTCAATAAGCAGTGGTTTTATAAAGGAAACACAAATTCTTAGGAAACGCCTGTCCAATAGAGGACGCAAAAAAATGTCTGTAATGAATTATAATTCTCTTTATTGATTTATCTAACCATATGTATCAATATCTTTCCTGCTGTTCTCCTATGATCGAATTCACCCATAACTAACTTTACTTTAAAATATCATGTTTGTGTTTCATTATTTATTTTTATTGACGAAATTGTTCCTCTTACATCCTTCTTTTCTGATATTTGGAAAGAAAGTGCAACTAAAAGGTAAGTTTTCGTTGCAACCTTCTATTGTACCGGTATAAATTTGCAAAAATGTTTAGCCTGGCGCTTATTTATTTCGCTCTTTGTGTGAAAAGGACCATTTGTTGCCCAGTCTTCCCACTCAAAAATGTTCTGATTCATATAAAGGCAGCTCAATTCTTCCTCTTGCTTGCAGTTGTTTGCTCTCCTTTCATCTCACTTGACTTAATTTAGTTTTTTTTTATTTCATACCATAGATAACCATGATATATACCATTTTTAATCGCTTGTCATAAAAGTTGATTGTGGGGAACCCCTCATAACTCAATGGATTTGCTATTTAATATGGGTGGCAAAAACAAATAGTGTTGCTAAACTCAATTGCCTGTACTTAAACTGTTTATGTGGTTTGCTTCATAAATGGCAGATGGGTCTTTGATTTCCTGAGGCAAATGAGGGAAGAATAAATGGTCAAAAATAGCATTAATTATCATTTTATTCTAGTGACAAATACTAGATTATCATGAAATTAGCATTTTCAATGGAATGGTAATGGACATTTTGATAGTTGAATCTTTCACTCCCCTAAAGGATCAAGTACTGTTTGTCTATGTTTCTGGTAGTAATAAATTGATGCTAAATAAAACTTAAAGATTCTATACTGTAAAATGAAAGTAGTACAATGAACATTTTCTCATTTATTATTATTTGACATAAAAGCTCTTCACTTTGCCATTTATAAAATGAATAGAGGGAGTAATTTTTTTTTTTGTCTATTTTTAGTCCTTCAGTAAAAGGAAATGGCTGCTGATATTAGAAGGATCAGGTCTTTTGGCACCAAGACAAATACATTTGAAGTAGCCATCTGTCAGCATCAGGATTTCTGAAAGGGGCAGAAAGAAAGTAGTTCCCTGCTCTCTGTTGTTTTTATTCCCCCATTTGTGTTGGCTATGTGTGGCTCACAACTCAAGTGAAATGACAATTATCCCTGCAGTGCCTCGAGTGATCAATCACTTCTTAAAATTCTGGTGCTCTTGGATCTGCACAATATCAGTGTGCCAATCTCGCCAAATGGACCTAATGGCAGAGTACATTCTCTCCTGGCTTCAGTTGCTTTCAGCGTACTTACAGAATAACTGAGTTGAAATGTTTTAAAAGCACAGTTTGTTAGACTGAGTCTCTCTCTTGAAGGGCAAAGCACTTACAAAGAGACATGGAAAAGATCATTGGCAACTATAACCTTTTTTGGTTAATAAATCTCTGCATTTATGAGAATGATAATGTAATAATGTGATAAAAGAAGTGCTATTATTGCAATAAACAAATATTGTATAATTGTATAGAATATTTGCATGTGTATATATGTTTATATATGAAGAGTTCAGATGCAAAAGCCTCTAAATGCCATCTGAAATTTTCTTCTAAAATGATCATTTTTTATCAAGCTCGTATATTTAAATTCAGTAATTTCACTTAAATGACAATTAATGGGTAATTTTTCTTGACATTCAAGTGAAATTATTGAACTTAAATATACGAGCTTGATAAAAATGATCATTTTAGAAGAAAATTTCAGATGGCTTTTAGAGGCTTTTGCATCTGAACTCTTCATATATTTTATAGAATATTTGTATAAATAAAATTATAGGGGGAGATCGGGTGTGGTTGTAACATGAGGAGAGTTGTAACACCACCAATTCCACCAATCAGGGATAAGCTGGAGTCCTGATCATTTCAGTTTTTGCTCACTTCCATGTTAAATAAATGGTTGTCAAGGCAGGAAATAAGCACATGCAGATTTTATAAAGAAAAAAACATTTAACTTATATTAGATTATTGAAGTTTCTTAGGCAAAATGTGATGCATTTTTAACCTGCTAAGACAACTTAGAACCGTTTCTTTTTAATCATTTTACAGAACGCCTAGACGGTGGAAAAGAAAGACAGATAGACGTGTGTCTGCCAGTGTTTTTTTTTCACTGAGTCTATCTATCTATCTATCTATCTATCTATCTATCTATCTATCTATCTATCTATCTATCTATCTATCTATCTATCTATCTATCTATCTATCTATCTATCTATCTATCTATCTATCTATCTATCTATCTATCTATCTATCTATCTTTTTGTTAAATCAAACAGAGCATCGTTTTGTAAAAAAAGAAAAAGTGATATGAATATGAATATGAAAAAAAAATAGGAATATGATGAATAGAACAGAACAAACTGATCTGAATCTATCCATGGTCCTGGTACGCATCCCATACACATGGCAGATTCCCTACTGTCTGTCCAGTTCTGGATGGTGGCCCTGCAAAAGGCATGAGATCACTTGGCTTTGGGAGGAGATGCAATGCTTCCATTGTTCTGGTCCAGAAGCAATAAAACTCTCTCATGCTGTCCCGTTTGCAAAAGCCCACTGCTGTTGCTTTACAGCTAACATGATTTCACCCCTGACTGCTGTGAATCAGTAGGTCTCCTGGACCATTCTGGCTTTGATCTTTAACTCTCTGTCAATCAAAATTAGTTATCCTTCAATACCGACTCCTCCTCACTCCATACAGTCCTGTCTAAGAACAAGCACAGCTTTGTCTATGCTCTATGTCTTCATGAAAACAGCCACATGCTGAGTTTGAGTTGCTTCACACGAGTGCCACATGTCACCTTTGAGCCCACTGTTCCTTTGCTGCTGTACGAGATGCATTTCTATCAAATAATTAAGCTGTGATCTGAAGACAAGCAGTTATCTAGTCTTTATACGAGGTGTAAAATGGATATGGGACATGAAAATAAAGCCCATCCACATGATTTTTCAAGACCTCCATCACAACTGACAACATAAATCGCATTGTCAGTTCATTCAACGGCCAGATTCGTAACTCCCGTTGCCAGCTATTTCCAGTATTGCAACTATATTTCCTATGAAAGCAATAATAATATCCGACAACATTATTTGTTGTTTAGCTCAAATCAAACTCACTCTATATAGGTTTAGTCTTTCCCTCTACTTTAACACAAGAGGCCACTTCTCTCTCTCTCTCTCTCTCTCTCTCTTCGCACACACATACACACAC